CTTTCATCTTGGATTTCCAATTGGGCTTCGCTCTTTGGACCATTTAATTTGGGCTACACTTTTAGTGTGTTAACAGTAATGTCATTTCGGTTAATTTACTTTACCCTTACAAAATTTTGTTTTCCAAATTTAGGGTAAAATTGTTTAGTTAGAAACTAGTGAGAAAAGTAAATAATTTTAGAATTCATACCACCAAAGCTGTTTTTTTTTTTATTAAACTCCAATTTTTTCACGTGTTTTTGAAGGAAACTGGTCGTGTATTGACAAAATATCTTTTAAAACATGAACTACATCCAAGGCTCCTTTTATAGGTTCATCTCCTATGCATTTCCATCATCTCAAGGGGCTAACGAATCACCTTCACACAGAATCAGATGCCCTTGTCTGTTCCTCTATGAATTTTGAGAAAATGTCACACCCCATAATCGACTCCACTCAAATGGCTTTTCCGTCAAGGCATTCGGGCTAGGACCACGAAAGCACCCTTGAAAAGGGTCTTGATACCAAAAAAAAAAAAATTATGAGCAATTGGGATATTTTACGTATTTTCTTTCGAGGATCATTATCGAGTAAATTTTACAAAAACTAAGCCCATGTCTGATTTTTCTAAAAATTAGGTTTTTAATAGATTTTGATAAAAAATGACAAAATGTATACTTGAAAAGGTTGATAAAATATATGAATTTCATAAAATGTGTGATTTAAATTAATTATTGATTTTAATTTGAATTTTTATTGAGTTTTTTGCTAAATCAAACATGGAGTAAATTTCTTGAGATAACAAATATCAAGCTGCAACTCAATATTCCTTGCCCCCACCACGACGCTTGAGGGTTCATGGAGTGTTTTTCTTAAATCTTTTGAGCTTGTGTTTTCCTTGTTTTATAAGAGCTTAAAAATTGGTTTTGAGTGCAGTTCTACCTTTTAATTGATATTTTTTCAATCACATAAATTATAAAAATTGTTTGAATATTCAAGAAGGATTGTCGAAATAACAATTATATCTTGACGTGTTTATTTTAAGATATTTTGATCTGACTGTGACATATAATTTAGTGCTAACTAATTTTGACCAGATATTTTAATATGACCATGACATATACGTAAGTACTAGCTGACTCGACCATCAAAATATTGCCTGATTTGTCCAAAGCTTAATTATTTGGATTCTTGGTTGATCCAAGATGAATTGAGTTTCAAGTTCCATCAATGTGGACCTAGAAGATATTTTTTAAGGTTGAAGACAACACGCTAGCCTCGAATATGAATTACACCAATCAATGGATTGAAAGGGCAGCAAATGAGAATTTTCTTTTTAGGTCAAATTCATTTGTCACAATTGAAGAAAAAATAATCGGGCTTCGTTACATACATAAATGGATTAATCCTCTTGTACCGAGGATGGACTACCGAATGGTGTCTCTCCTCTCATATGAGGCGCGGCCCCCACATGTATTAAATAATGCCGATTAGTGGCCCCCACCTCCTATTGTGAGTGGAGTGTAAAAAATTTGGTAAAATATTCGATCCATGTAGCATGACCCTACATAATTACATAATACATATAAAGTTGGGTGTTTAGCACCAATTTACATCATTCATAAAAATTTAGGTTATTCATCTTTTAACGTGACATGAAAAAAAAAAAAACAAATAATTTTCAAGTATTTTTAAAAAAGTGGATTCATCATAATTAAGCACCCTTTAAATAATTTATTTTTTATATTCATTTTTAACCACATATTC